TTGAAGCATTTAGGTGTTGAACAAGAACCAACAGAGATTCATATTGATAATCAATAAACAATAGCACTAGCGAAGAATTCAGTGTTCCACGAACAAAGCAAACACATTGACACAGGTTACCACTACATCCGAGAGCAAGTGAAGGATAAAGAAGTGGAATTAATCCCTTGCAAGTCTCAAGACCAAATAGTAGATATCTTCACAAAACTGTCGGCATATTAAGTGTTCAAAAGACTAAAGATACTACTTGGAATGAAGAAACTCAGCGAATTGGGTTTGAGGGGGGGCATTGAAAATCAAACCCCAATTCACAAACTAGGAGTTACTGGAATGATCAAGAATGATGAGAAGCATGATGAACAAGGAAGGAGAAGCTTCATGGAAACCCTCCATTGTTGATTGCCCAAAGCTTCACCATGAAGCAAAGAAGAAAAACATGGGGAAATTGAGCTGGTTAATGCTCACCACAATCAAGTATTCACACTTGAGGATTTGCCTATAACTAGATTACATTAGTAGTTGTATTTAATTAATTCAATTTGTAAAAAAGATACTACATGTATCCAAATTCATTTCAGAAATAAAAAACAGTGTTTGTTCTTCAATTAAATTCTATCAATCAGTTGGTACACTGTGTTTGTTGTTTGTCTTTGGAAAATTTGGAAAAACAGAAATTTAAAATTTTTTGATCAATTGGTGATTAGTAGCCATGATAGTGTGAAGTTTATCTTGACTTATTATACTAATGAAATTAACCAAGCTTTTAATATGGCCATTGTTAATGCTAGACCGGCTTTCAAACTGATTAAGTGGTGTCTTCCCCCTGCAGGTAGAATTAAATTAAACACATATGGCTACAAGAAGCTAGGAGGAGATGGAGGCTTTAGAGAACTATTCAGAGATGAAGCTCGAACATGGTTGTGTGGTTACTATGGCGGATTATACAATGGGACAAGCCTTGAAGCTGAGCTATCGGCTATTTATGGAACAAAGTAATTATTGAGACCGACGCTATGCAAGCTGTGAAGTTATTGGAAGAGGAGACAGAAACAAAGGGCTTGTTTGGTTTGTTTTTGGAAGAGTTGTTTTTGAAAATTTTTTTCAAAATTTTGTTTGGTTTGTGTTTTTCTCAAAAAAATTCCAAAATCTCTCTCTTACACATCAATCAATCACTTTTTCTCTCTCCTCTCTCCTTCTCAATCACTTTTTCTCTCACATACATCTACTCAATTACAACAAAATATCAAATCATCCCAAACTCCCAAACTACTTTCAAAATATACAACCAAACAAACTAAAAAAATTTCTAAACTCACTCTCCAAATTTTTTTTCAAAAGCAACTCTCCCAAAAACAAACCAAACAAGATGCCAAGATCATCATGTGAGGATGTGAGTGTACTGCGCAACATGTGTTCAAGGAGGGCAATCTTTGTGCTGATGCACTCGCAAAGTTTGGAGCTAAGTAGCCAGAGGATATTTTGGTGGTGAATGAGCCACCAACCGAGATTTAAGAATCAGCTTGTTACAGACATCGTTAGTAGATCTAAGAAATGGGCTTAGGCCTTTGTTTTTGTTGTTTTTCCGATGTTCCTTAAAAAAAAAAAACAAACAAACAATTGAATTGGTGATTTAAAAATAATAGATGGTCCCTTACCAAATGTATGTATTATTTATAGAATATTATTTGACTATACAAATTCCAATTTGCTTCTAGAGAAATAATTTTTTTTAAGTTGAAAATAATCAAATTTTATAATTTAATTTACTATGTTAAGAAAAAGTGTGAATAGAATAATAGTGCTAACAATCAAAATATTCAAAATTTATCTCAATAATTATGATTTACATCAATAATTGTGTACCATATTCAACAAATTTATAATTATGTGTACCATATGCACCCCACAACTCCATTGGCATTACCGCTACCATTACGATAACCGCCACCGTTATTTAAAACTTTGTGTATGAGAGTTGGGGCCCCATCTTTTAAGTCCACCTTAGGCCCCAAAAAGTTAGGGGTGGCCGTGGTCAAGTTGCTTGCAAGTGCCATAATTGATAATTTTATCACAAAAAATCAAAGAAAACAAAATTCAAGATCTAAACATTTTTAGAAATTTAGATCTTGTATGTACCATAACCGCTCATAACTGGATCTATAGAACACATTATTGTATTGACTATCAAAGAAGGAAGAAAAAAAAAAAAAAAAGAGGACAAAAGAACAACACTACCAAAAACAAGGAAAATAATATATTTTATCGGTTCAAATTTACACAATCCAATGCTTAAATTATGCAAGAGGATGCTAGACTGCATGAGCTTCTTATTCACCATAATTAGTAAACACTAAAGTTTGTAATGAGTCAATAAAAAAGGTTTTAGTAGAATCTTTGGAAAGACAAAATAGTGAATTGATCTTCATATCAAGTTAAGAGATATCATAGTTCTCAACTCTTCCTTTTCCTGGATTGCAGGGACACACAAGCTCAATACCATTTTAAGGGCCAGTACCAGTTCTATTCTACATATTGGACAAATAGAACATCATTAATCCCATACATTATTGCACGCCACCCAACCGTAAAACCAGCAAAGTTCATAAAAATGTTCCGTGTCTTGAACAGGATAAATTCATAAATGCACTATATATACTTGGCAAAAGAGTAATTCATGTATGATGTACGATTAAAATTCTGTGAACAATCAGACTAACACACTACAAGACAAAGACATTAATGAACTTTAAACTACAATATTTACCCTTGCAGACAAAAACAGTAGGAAACTGAAAATGTGCAGAAATCCAGTATATTGACTTGCAAGTTGCAACGTAACATATATGTCTACATGTACTCTTCTAAATTTATAACGTTCCTGTGTTGAACACAGGCCTCTCGGACACAGGCCTCGCTCCTCACTCTGGAACCTTGCTCCTGATCCTGCCCCCTCTCCTGCTCACAACCTCAATCCCGTCTATAGGGTCCTCGCTCCCCCACTCCTGCTTCATGCAACTATGGATCAGATAAGGATATTGAATATAAGTCTGAAATGCCTAGATAGACATGCATCCCCTTGGAAAAAGTAATCCACAATTTTTAAGAACATTATGTTGGGTGGTACATTCATCTTAGAAAGATACAAAGAAACTATTTAATAGGTTGTTGCATAGAAATATGAAATGGTTATCTAGGGGACTGTGATTCAAGTAATTAGATTTTCCATGGAGCCCTATTAAAAGGACATGATAGGGGGAGGTGGAGTGGGTGATTCATGTAACCAAAAACAAAACAAAAAAAATTATTCACACCAACACCCATGCTCAAGTCCATTTAACAATGGTGTTCACCTATTTACTTTTTAGTGCCAATACTGAAACACACAGGAACACCTGTACAAAGTCTGCAGATACATGAAACAGAGAAAACACTGGTAAATAGAACCATGGAAAATTATACAGACAAGCAAGGACAAAGGAGTAACACGTTGCATAGCTATCCCTTAGAATGTGGAAGATACTGCATTGTTTTTTTTTTTTTTTTTTTTTTTTTTTTTTTTTTTTTTTTTTAATAGAGCTGTGTTTAGTAATTTATCAAACTCATTTTGTCTTTACTCAAGGATCATGTTGGCATCTGCAGTATGCTTCTATGTTTAAATTCCATCTAAAATAAACAAAAAATTGCTCATATGATCTAATTTACTCAAAATAAGATGTTTCAATTAGTCCCCTTATATATCTACCAACCTCTCTCTCTCTCTCATTTGCATTCAAACTTTCTGAGAGCTGCTGGTTAGTATGCAATGTGTAAACCCTATATGAGAAGATAATCAAACCTAGGAGTATCAGGATTCCTTAAATTTGTTGCTTGACGTTTTTGCTTCAACTTTTGGGTAGTACACATACTTGCCTTGACATTAATCAGATATAATGACAAGGCAGAAATATCAAAACTTATCAACAGTCTTAAGCATGAAATATTTTTATATTGCGGCATCCCCCCCAAACAAAAAATTTCTTTAGTAAAAACAGTAGAATTTGAGTTTGATGCACATGTATGGAATTAACACAAGAAACAAAAACAACCATGAACAATTTGATATAGAGAAAACACTCTGTAATTGACTAATAATTCAATAAAAGATTATTTGTCCCAATATTTGCATAGCTATTTATGTTAAAATTATTGGTAATCAAGAATATTTAAAAAAAAGAAAAAATTAATTCTTGCTTAGTCAAGAATATCTAAAAAGAAAAAGAAAAACAACCATCTAGCTACATTATGAAAACAAACATCAAACTAATAAGAAAGTCAAGAATATTTAATAAAATATATATATATATATATATTAATTCTTGCTTAGTCAAGAATATCCAAAAAGAACAAGAAAAAGAAAAACAACCATCTAACTTCATTATGAAATCAAACATCAAACTAATAAGAAAGAAAATAATGAAAATCCAAGTCATCTAGCTTCATTATGAAAGCAGACATCAAACTAATAAGAAAGAAAATAATGAAAATCCAAGTTCTTCTAGTACTAAAAGCTGCAGAAATGTAATCCAAAATATTATACCAAGAACAAGAAAAAGAAGAATGTTTGGCAACAGGAAAAGCCAAGAGCGCAAGACCTAACACACAGAGAAGAGAATCAAAGCAAGGGTACATACCCTACAAACCCTACATGTGCCACATACAACAAATTGTCACCACACATATTCTAGTCCCTTCATAACAGCTTGATATATATATATATATATGTATAATACTAGAGAGGAATAAAGAAAGAGAACAAAAAGAAAAAAATAAACTAAACTGACAAAAAATAAAAAAATAAAAATTAAACTGATCCTTTGGGAACAAGAAGATTTTAAATGTGAATTATATGTGTTCTTGGAAATATACACAAGCATGAGTTATTATTATAAGACAAAAACAAATCCAATCAACAAACAAACCACAGAGACATTCAAGATCTAGGAAAGAGGAAGGGTTACTACCAGAGTCTGAGGAAGAAATTGTGAGGGCTTTGAACTGGCACTCAATTCTTGAGAGGAAAAGCATGGCTTCTTGGAAGGGTTTTGAGAGTTCTTGCTCATACTTGCTCAGCATCTCACAGTAGGCCTCCATGAACTGATCCAATGCCGGATCTTCGCCGATACATCCCGTGCCGGTGTGGCCGACCGCGGAGGAAGACGCGCAGGCTTCCTCCAGTCTTGCCACTACTTCCGGCGGTGCTCCGATCTGTGCATACATATATATCATAAGAATTCATGTTTTAAAATAGATCTAACCGAAATTTTTACTTGCTGTCAGGCTAACTAACACATTACCTTCCTCCTTGGTATGGTTTGTGATTTAAATATATATACATGTAAAATAATGAACTCTTCCTTAGTAGGGCTTGTGATTTACAACATATATAAGGTACATGTAAAATAATTTTCTCTCGTTAGTATATGGCTTGTGATTTACAGCAGAAAGCATAAGAACTGTCTGTCCCTATCATTTTAGTAAAAAGGGTTTCTAGTTATAGACCAGTTTCATTAAAGAAAGTTCTTTAAAAATTGAGAGAACAACAGAAGATAAAAGAACACCCCTCTGCCACACTCAGATTTCCATTCTAGAACCCAGAAATTTTCTCTCTCTCTCTCTCTTGTTCTAAATTCGTCAATCTTCCACTTGGAAGAGGAAAAGATTTGTGGGTTTTTGATGGCCTCCAAGAATATTATAGCTATGTATATATATATGCACACAAACAAAAACCCTCTGCCACATTTAGATTGCCATTTCAGAACCCAGAAATTTGCAGCAGCTCTTCTTATCTGAATTTATGAATCTTCCACTTGGAAGACGAAGAGGTTTCTAAGTTTTTGATATATCATCAAGAGAGAGAGAGAGAGAAGTTTTGGTTCTTCACCTTCTGACAATTGACATAAGCAGCCAAGAGGCGGTGATAGTGAGGATGAGCCATGATCTTATCCTTGACAGAAGACGAACAAGAACCACCACCATCGTTGTGATCGTTGCTATGATTCTCCATGAAATAACAGGCTGTGTTCGTGGTGAGATTGTGATTGTTGTTGTTGTGATCTTGGAGCATCATATAAGAAGAGCCAGTAGTACTACCATGGCGGTTTAGGTCATGATGGTTGTTGTTGGTGAGAGGAAGAGGGAGAAATAGGGTATTGTTGTTGTTGTCGTCTACTACTACAACATTAGGGTGATGAGAGGGAGAAGTAGTCACTTGAGGCATCATCATCATCATTGGACATAGTCCATTACTATTGTCTCCAAAAGCCATCAAACATGAAGTGCTACTAGAACCACCACCTCCCTCCATTCTCTCTCTCTCTCTCTCTCTCTCTCTCTCTACAATAACTTTTCTTTGATCTCCTTATTTTTGCTATATAACCCTAAACCATAACAATCTCTCTCTATCTCTCTATCCTTTTCTCCCGGGAATTAAGCTTACTCTTTTCAGGCTTTTTACAGAAAATCCTAAATAGTTGTGTGTGGGTGTGTGTAAGAGAGAGTCAGTTTTGTGAAGATGTTTTCCTCATGGATGCGTTCTGAGAAAGCCTGTTCAGATATTTCCTTTGGAAATGGGTGTTAACCTTTCTGGTCATTAACAACAGGCATTAAAACACTCTCTAATCTCTCCTGTTCGATCGTGAGAAAGAAGAGTGTGAAAGTTTAGATAGAAAAAAGAGAGATTTGCAGAGAAGGGAGAGTGTGAATCTTTGAGGCTTGCTGTGGTGTGCAAAGCTTATTACCTTCCCGATGAAAACTCTCAACCTCTTTTCATTCACTGCCAGTAGTGCACTGCCAAAACTGGCAAGGATGGAAGGAGAGAGAAAGTGTAGAGAGAAAAGAGAAAGTGAGAGAGAGTGTGGAGAGAGAGAGGAACGATCAAATCGAGGTGTTGTGTAGCGTAAGTGATGGATGATGGAGGGAAAGGTGGGGCACGGAATCACAACTCGACTGTAGTGTGGTGTACTGGAACTGGTTAGATAGCTATTTGTCCACTCATTTTAATATTCTCTCATTTATTGTCCTCTTCTTTATTTTTTTTATTTTTTTTTTTGAGAATTAAATAAAAAATTAAGAAGTAAAAAAAAAACAGTAAATAGATAAATTTTAAAAATAATTATGGTAGAGGTTAATAGATAAAAATTAGAGTAAGGAATGGTTTTGAATGATCTTAATAAATGTATTTTTTAACTTTTTATGAAATATGGATTGAGTTTGGTTGAGTTTGAAGTGATGTGTTAGAGAGATGATATAACTTAAATAAGATAATGTGACTTAAATAGGACAGTAGACTTTTTTACTTTTTTTACTTTTTTTTTAAACATGTTAAACTAAGCCTAAATTATACTTTAATCTCATGTGATTTAAGATTATTTTGGGAAGTGAGTTAAAAATCACTTCTCAATTTCTAACTCACTTCTCAATTTCTAACCCACTTCTCTCTCTCATAAAAAAGTCAAAAAATAATTTTTAACCATCTTTTCAAAACACCTCTTACTCAAAAAAATACGAAATCCTATTTACTGTGTTTGGTTTGAGTTTTCTGGATTAAGTTTTTTGAAAACTGAGTTTTTTGATTTTCGCGTTTTTTTGTTTTTAGTGAATATTTTTAAAATTTTAAACATTTTTTTTACTTTTTTAGATGCACCTTATTTACATGTGTCTAAAAAGTAAAAAAATTGTGAAAAAATATTTTAAAAAATTAAGAAATACATGATATAACTTAAATAAGATAATGTGACTTAAATAGGACAGTAGACTTTTTTACTTTTTTTACTTTTTTTTTAAACATGTTAAACTAAGCCTAAATTATACTTTAACAAACGGAGGCTTAAGATTATTTTGGGAAGTGAGTTAAAAATCACTTCTCAATTTCTAACTCACTTCTCAATTTCTAACCCACTTCTCTCTCTCATAAAAAAGTCAAAAAACAGTTTTTAACCATCTTTTGAAAACACCTCTTACTCAAAAAAATACGAAATCCTATTCATTATATTTGGTTTGAGTTTTCTGGATTAAGTTTTTTGAAAACTAAGTTTTTTGATTTTCGTGTTTTTTTGTTTTTAGTGAATATTTTTAAAATTTTAAACATTTTTTTTACTTTTTTAGATGCACCTTATTTACATGTGTCTAAAAAGTAAAAAAATTGTGAAAAAATATTTTAAAAAATTAAGAAATACATAAAAATATAAAAAATATACTAAATTCTTGTATTTTTTTGTATTTTTGGTATTTAGTGAATTTGTAAAAGATTTTTTTATAATTTTTTTACTTTTTAGGTGTATTTATGTTAGGTGTGTCTAAAAAATAAAAAATTTGCCTAAAATATTAAAAAAATTCAGTAAAAACAAAAAAACACGAAAAATAAAGAGTGTAGAATTTTCTGAAAACTGTTTTTAAAAAATAAAGAGTGATTATAATTTCATTTGTAATACTTAAACTCCTTGAATTTCATACTAAAGTGCAATTTTGAACGGAATCGTTTGTTTCAACAGGGTAGAGCATGTGTTGCACGACTATAAAACTAAAATTTTCCTTCCTCAACCACACTGGATAATTCCTTACATTCTTCTTCTTCCTAGATTTTTTGAAAACCATAGATGTTAGTTCTCTCTCTAAAATGCTTCTCTCTCTAGCTTATTTCCCTAATTTCTTCATCCTTCCATTTCATTTTTGTTTCATTATTCTTCTAAAATCTATGTCTATCATTCTCTTAACTCAAATAAAATTAACCAAAAAATTAAAATCTATGTCTATCATTCTCTACCATGGCAATCACTATTATCATTCATCTTCTCTTTATCACTATAAACACGCATACATTATATACATAGGCATACTCAATTAACCAAGCCAAGACCCAAATTATAGTGGTGGCTACTACCATGGGTGCCGTGAAAGGGGAAGGTGGTGGGTGTTGGTTGAGTAGAGGAGATGGGATGAGCTTGGTAGGTGTTTGTAACTATGGACTATTTGTTTGGGTCTAAATTCTAGAGAGAGAGAGAGAGAGAGAGAGAGATGAGTGTTTGTTTGTGTAACGACCCGGACATGCATTTGATTAATTAGTCATCTAATTGCATTTTTATGTGTTAATAGATCGTGTGATTGATATGAAAATTGCACGTCTAATGGTGTAAATTATAAGGATTTGTATTTGTATCTGTTGTTCATATGAAGACTTGTTGAAATTACAACTTTAAACTAAAATTGAGGGTTTCAGAGGCGTCAAAAACCAAAACTAAGTAAATATTTGTGATCAACATAATTTTTAGTGCCAAATGAGAGGTTTGGTAAAAATTTGATTCAGAATTAATTAAATTCAATCCTTAGTTATATATATATATATGAGCCTTAGTGGAATTTGCAGAGAGAGTTATAGAAAGAGAGAAAGAGAGAGCTCAAGAAAGGCAAGAAAGAAAGAAGAAGAACAAGAGAGAGATTTGAAGGGATCTTCTTAAATCATCTACTCTAAGTATGAATTTCTCCCTCATTTAGAATTTAAGTCATTTTCACTCATAATCCTTTAAGATTGAGGCCTAAATTGAATGAACTCATGGTTAATTAGGGATTTGTTGTTGTAAAGAAATTAGTTTAAAATGTCAATATATATAGCATGTTTTCATGGAATTTTTGTCCATATACATGATCTATTGCATGAGCCTTGAAGATAAATGAAGAAACTCTGTAGATTTTGAGAATTAGAACTCCAAATATGTATGCTTCATGATTTTGTGTTCAAAGTCTAAGTTTTGATCTTTTTACATGGAAATTGGATTTGTTTTGAAGTCATGGTTTAGCTTAAAGTTAGAAATTGTTCATTCAACGTGTTTTTGTGAGTTTTGGGTTGTGAATTGCATGAAGATAAAGAGGAGTTTGCAAAAGTTGAGCTCCAAATTTGAAGTAGATTTTCGGACTACAACTCCATCCAGAACGCTCGAGCGCGCCCAGGCCACCGCACATGCGGTCAGCAGGGCAAGCTCAGTTTTGTTTTCTTTCCATTTCTCTAACTTCCGGACCTCCATTTGTATGGTTTTCAAGTGTTTTTATTTGCATTTGTATTGCATGAACACAAGAGAAATTAAAGAAAGAATAAGAAGAACAGAGGGAATAAGTAATGAATGAACTAACTGAACGAAGTGAATGAAATGTGTTTTGTTGTGCTTGGTTATGTTTCTACAGGTTGAGTCGTTAAGGAGTATCATCTGACCAAGCAACGTAAGTAACATTACTGTAAAGACATGTTTATATGAATTATATTTGAAATGATATTTGATAAGTTATGTGTTCTGAACTGTTATTTTGTTTAAGTGAACGAATGTCCTATTATGATCTATAGAAAGTTCAAAGTCATGGGAGGGCAGCATTTTAATGTGGGTCCATGACAAATGTAAGATCTCGTTAGCCACTTGACCAAGTGGTGCTATGGTTAATAATCGGTGTTCGGGACCGATTACTCTAGTCGAAAGACGTTATGATATGTTTTATTGGATGTACCATTATTATGTTAAGATATGAGTATGATTATGTTATGACCTGTTTTAGGGTTATAATATGTACGGAATTCGTTCACTAACCTCTTTACCTTAATGTTATTCACTGGGCTTTAGCTCACTATGTGTATGCATATATGTATAAGTAAGCGACATGAGGAGCAAACCCAAAAGAAATCTTTTAGTCAAGCCACCATCTGAAGCCCTCATGAGATTTTGGTGCCTCCGAGTTGAAGCTAGGTCTAAAAGACTGTTGTCAAGTTGGTGATCTTGATGTTGAGTTTTGATATATGTATATAAATGCTTTATAAGATGTTATGTACATGATACAATGTGGGTAAATTAACGTTTTGTGCATGTGTTATTTCATATAGATTCACAACTTATTGTATATAATTTTATTGTCATGACCCGAACCCGCCCCCGTGGGTTAAGGACATAACCGGCCAGTAATCATGAGATTACCTAAGGCCTCTAACCAAAACAAATGTATTTTAACAGAGTTAATGGGGGCCAAACAAAAACAGTTCAAAACTTTGTCCATAGAGCTGTGCTTACATGGCACATCCAAACAACCAAACATATATGCATTAATAACTCACAACAGAAATACAGTAACATAAGTTCTGTACAAACAGAATCATCCAAAAACTAAGTCAACCCATGAAAACTATATACAGACATATGCAAAGTCCTCGCCAACATGACAAAAATAACATAGCATAGCAGAAAGGCGAAGACGAGTCTCGTGCGTGAGACACTAGGGCTGACTCTCCAAAACTCGGTTGTTCCAAACAGACTTCACTAGGGCTGGGTCTGGATCTCTCTTGGCTCACCTACAAACACATGAATGAGTGTAAGCAATAACCCAGCGAATAATATCAAATAAGAAGATACAAACGATATGTAGAACAACATACTCCGAACGGCCTTGGGCCCAATTCACATTTTTATTTAACATTTATATACACAATTTAAGTCAAGTGACTGTGGTTTCAAACATACTGGCCTTTGGCCCATTTATCTTTCGTTCCTGTCGAAACGGCCTCTGGCCCATTCATTCTTATCAGACATCTGTCCACAATTCAAACTAGCAAAGCATAAGGCATAAGGCTTATAGGAAAATAAGCAATTGGACAAACGACAAGCTTCCAAATATCGATATTACTCACAGTTATCGGTTGGTTAGTTTGCCCTGGAGGTCGACCCTACACAGTCCATGAACACAAAAGGGTCACCAACAATTCAATCCGTTCTTAAATTCACATTTTCCTCTTTAGGCTTTATTCTTATCTCTTTAACTCAATTATAATACTCAATGCATGCCTAAGAGTACTTAGAAGTGAAGGAGAACGGAAAACGAAATACAGAACGCATAAATAAAA